TAACGAGTAAATAACCGTAAGCTAGATCGAGGTTCTCAAACCATATGCCGCCATCATGCTTCATGTATGGACAACAGATACTGGTGATTCTCTAACATGTAAGTTTAGCCGTTTGAACAGTCGGCGCTAATACGTACATTGACTTTTCATTTCTGCACCGTAGAGAATGGTGCCGTCCACTCTAAGTAATGTACATGTTCGATTATGTCTTCCAACTACAGATGATTTAACTTATATGCCACTATTGGTTAAGATGCTTATGGCACTGAACATTATGTTCGTAAAATTGGTCTGGCGTCTGGTTTGGGTATAGCTCCGCTCTGACTATCCGGCCGCATCCAAGAACGAGCTGAAACAACTTTCTTGAATTCGCTTCAATTCTGCGATTTGCGTGTAATGTTCAAGGTGTATTTTCAGCTTCTCTGTGGTTTCTCGATTTGTGATTTATGGCACATACTATTAACTAATTGCTCAAATACGTTCGATTCCTTCATCTGATCTAGACAACGCAAAATTAATCATGGCTGATCTGTCACAAAACCGGTTGTACGATTCTGCCGACCGCGAAAGCAAATCTGAGAATGCAACTCGAAGTAAGTATTTTAATGTATAGGGCACGATGCAAATATAATACCGGCATAAACATCGTAACAAAATTCATAAACATGTTGAGTGAAGTTTTCTGTTGGGGGGCTATTCTCACTTGCTCTGGTTACCGTGTCAGTTGTAGTGACAAATTGTTGGTCAGTGTTTCGACTGTGCTTTCACCAAACTCGCTTGATCTCGTGGCAACAGAGCCTATTAATTTAAAAATCACTTGATATATTTGGGCTTCTCTGGCTTCTCGTCACCACGGTCGTACCGCTGTTGTGATTCAACTGTGAGACTGCGACCATCTGTCAGCTCAACCACGCCCCCAATCACTAGTATAATTACCAAAGACTAAGGCTCAGTACACAGGATATCTACTACAAGAAAGATCAGCTCCAGTTACTGACGAACGAAACATAAGTATTTTGGAAGCCCAGTCCATCCACTGTTCTGCGTCTGGTCCTCAGTCAATGGGAATTAATTTAACCCTACGGGTTGGTCATATTTGGCGGCATAGTTCGCCTCCTTTGAAGCACAGTTGCATCTGCTGGCCAGTCAATTCGTACACGATTCCCATATTTGGCGGAACATTAGAAGGCAGTTCCACGCCCCTGCAGCAGACATCTGAAGGGCTCTACAATAAGTCTGTGCACAACCTCGTATCTGATAATTGGCTCATTTTAACTATCTCTTATGTTGAGAACCAGACAATATGCTAATGATTACATAGTTCTGGCCTAAGCAAATCATGTGCACTGCACTTTACTTCTGGTTTGTAATAACATCTGGCTAAGATCATTTCATGGTACTGTTGGTAATACATAACCACCCGGAGTGTTGCGGAAATCTCTTTTCTGTTTGCGTTTGTCGCCCCTGGAACGAAGTAGCACATTCAGTCCGTTTCGCAAAACAAGAATTTTTAAGTACGGTTGAATGATGCATTCCGCCAATGATATATCTTAGCAACCGTCATTTGGAAAATGTGACCACGACATGAAATATTCCAAGACGCAAACTCTGTCGAGCAATGGCGTAACAGAGACAGTGGACGTGTGAAATATTAGGCTCCTTATGAAGCACGTCACCCGAACACGGTAAGGGTGCCAACGTGCAGCGTGTACGCACTTATTCTGATTCGTACGGTGCGCCAATCAAGCGTAGACATCTCAGATTTGTGCTCAGTCAACGTACAGCACCCCGAAACGCAGAATGGTCCACACGCTACCACTAGAACAAAACTTCATACCAGTTGAGCCTCGACAAATATATGTGTGAGCGACTTTATCTCCAACGGCCAATTGATTCGGACTCAGTTATATGGGCCCCTAGTACTAAACGGAGAGCTTAGCGACGACTTGCACGGACACACCGCGCCATCCCATTTTACGTAGAAATGCGAATGCTTGAAAGGTTACTTGAGGAAAACCGTGATCTCGCGTGACTTCTAAGCCCCTGAGGCTCCACGTGGGTTTTATGAGTATTCATCCTAGCATGCGTGTAGGTTCCGTGTAGATAATGAGGATCGATTGCGATCAGGCAGCCACCAAATTGCACACAGTTTGCGCCGTACGCAAGCATTCTCTGGGAACCAAGGTCGTAAACTCGTCTGATTTGCTATTGCTTCACTTGCGATTGGTCACTCAACGAGTGACATTGGGTTTGTGGTGTTCGCGTCCGTAAGATGATATTTGAGTGCGCTGTGGATTAAGCTGAAAGATGTGTGGATGAAATCGCTTATCTTAAGGCTGAGTTGGCAAACATAATAGCTACAATTACCTACGAAATTGTGTGGATATGATATGGCGCCGCTTTCTATCCACTTACTGGCTCGTTACTACCTTGATGGATTAGTGTAGCGTCCTCCCAAGCGACAAACTTACCAATCTTAGGCCGCCAATTATCTTACGTCAGAAAAAGCAGGTTCATATGCTCACCGATTACAGTACAGTAGTAGGGAGAAATAATAGATAATATATAAGTAGTACGCAGACCAAACTGCGTACAATGCAATAAGTTAATTTGCGGCGTAAGTTTGGTTATTTCGAGACTTGTTGAGAGAGTTGCACCTACCACTGCACAGTAATGACGTGCAACTCAGTGGATAATGTGCGGCGCTATCTCACGTCTCGGAACTTACTCACTGCGGTCGTTGCCACCCTCCGTTGCTCAGTGGTCATAGCCGCAAATTGGTTATCGTCGATTTTGCGGGTATGATCCCTCCAGGTGTCAGATGGGATGCGCACTGTTGACAGTCGTACAGTTAAGTTAAGTTAAAAATAAGGCGGCTAGTTCTGAGTGTTCTACAGCACTCTCCGTAAACTAGCGGTAAGTGCAACTTCAGCAGCATTTATATAAATAGTTTAGCCAATCAAATTCAACCCGAAATTTCCCATGTTCCTGTCACATTTTACCTTTCAATATACCATCCGCACCACCGTCATCCTACGATCAATAGCAAGTAATTGTTTGTTAACGCGTTGTCCAGCATTTTTCAAAACGTGGTAATAGGAAAAAGCTTACTTAAGCAGAAACACAGCAAATTAAAACGATTTTGATGGAAAAATATAACGTTTGGCTAACGCACTTAAAATTAATGGATAGTGCCTACTTGAGTGAAAGAAAAACGGTTGCAACTCGCTCACTTTCCGGAACACCACTTAAGGCAACTACGTTTACATAGATATGTGGGATATTCATATTGTTCATAGCTGTTTAGGAGTAACACTTGATCAATAAACAGAAAAAGGTAGTATGATATGACTGTTATGTCATGACAACAGAAATGACTGCTTTGAATTTAGCCGCACGTTTGTGTCCGTTTTATCAGCTATTTGAAGAAATGCGGAAAAAGACGAGGTGAAAACATGTTATGTTTGCAAACTTCGTAAAACAAAAGTTGTTCAATTACGTTCAAATTTGGCTTCATCATGGAGACAAGAACACCACCGAAACAGAGGGTGACAAAATCTACAGGGATATATATATGGAGTCGAACAGGACTGGTTCTGCCAACGTATTTGATATGTGCCCTCTGCAGATGGACTGCAAAGGCGAATGCAGATGTAATAGTTACCAAACTTTTCCAGAATTCGCAATTAATTATGACGTTCTGCATTACTTGGTTCTCACTCACAAGCTTCAGATCTATGTAATCTAGGGTATTATCTCCGGTGGAATAGAAGCTAATCTATTGCAGTTACATCTGTACGCGTGACTTCACACCACCATATCCAAATAAATTGAAGCTCAGCGTGCAGTGACACTTAGCGTAATAATAAGTCCATGTCTATCCATGATGTTCCTTAAAGAAACGCAAATATATTTTCCAGACTAATGCTGTTCACTTAATTGAGCTACCAAGCAATAGGAGACAGTATGAGACGGCATAATGCCATCTATTTTGAGTTTGAAAGGACGATGCAAAAGAAGTTCCACTGTAATGCTGCCATGAGCAGGATATTGCGAGTACACCATCAATGCACTCGCCAATACAGGCTATGGGTGCAACTAGTAGAGAGCGTTTTCATCAAATGCAACCAATATTTGTTGGTTTTAAATGATTTTTTCACGAAGTACCACTTAATTTACTTTGACGAATCCTTGGAGGATATCCGACCAACAACTTTAATTCTTTTAAATGGCGTGCATTCGCCACGACTCCGTCAGAACCGAGATGATCAACCCCCTACTTTGACCCCATTCAAAGTACATCAGTCACAGCTTGCAGCACCGGCTAATGCATGCTTTTTCGGTACATGCAATCTGACGTTTGTGAGTGATCAAGAAAAGAAATTGCATTTCCAATCCTCATTAGCATGTGAGCATGAAAGTGTTAAGACAAACCACAAAAACTAAATCGCTTTTGTCGCCATCTAGTAAAACTGGAACACTGTGCCACACTGAAACATCACCAGATAAACCTGGTCCTCTTAATTACCCACAGAATTCCCTCTCCATTCGTGTCTGCCAATCGTGGAACGCCGTTTTAATTTACTAGGTGTCTCCAATATATTTACGACATATTTGGACATGTTTGATGCGACAACCATCTATGTACATGACGCGATTAGGCAGTTCTTCATATTGTCAAGGAAACATGCAAAGCAGTTAGAGATGAGCAAAATGGTGGTAAAACATCGCAACAGGAGATAGCGACTAACCACTAATTGCCAACTTTCAATTTACATATGTATTGCTTGGAAGCCTACATATATGTGTTTATATATACCCGGCTTATTTACACCAAAAACTGGAATACAGTTCTGCGTTAAAAGAATAATATTCCCCATACGTTTTACTTCCATTATTTATCTTTACATGGACGAAAATGAATGAATAAATAAATAACTAGCAGTGACACAAATAAAATAAACTCTATATCGACAAAGTTTTATCGCGGTAGGATTCCTCTACTTACCGAATGTTAATGTAGCATTGAATATACTTCCCTGTTCACCTGGTGCTGAGAGTACAACAGTCATCGCGTTTGAAGAGCCACAAATTGTTCGATTGACGGAAGGTGTGTTCTGCCCAAAAATATTAATGACTTCGGCACCACAATCACTTCCATCCAAAATTCGTAGGGATCCCGAAAGCGTTTTGAACTGTTAAATACAAAATAATCCGTATAGAGTTGTATAATCTTTCATTGAGTTGTTTATTGTTTCAGAGTAGGCCGCCGCAAATGCGCATCCAAATCTATTTAACTGGCTAGTGTAGTTTATGTATTTATGCAAGTAACTACTTTGTAGCCTGCATTTATCTGCACGTAGTATTCCAATATCAGATCCGCATACTACCGATTACCACAAATACAACAGAAATAACATTTCATCATGGGTGAGAGATCAGTCACATCGGAAGAACAGTTCGGTCTCTATGTAAGTGGATAGGAAACTGTATTCCACAATGGGTTACTGTCATTACAAAATTGCAGACACGAGGGCAGGGGTCAAGTTTCAATTTGTTAGTCTCATCAATTGCCAAGCACATCTACAATACGGGTCAGGAAGTTGACCTGCAGGTGGCGATTTGGGAATTTATCACAGTATAAAGGGTAAAATACACAAATTTACTGAGGCGCCGTCAATTTGTTGCAATCGCAAATAACCCTGTTTAAAGTAGCAGTTAACTTTGATGAATGATTTATCAATTCTGATTTTGGTGTAGGATTTGACGTACTACGCCTACTCTCTCTTTCTTACAGCATTTGAATTAATTCTTTTTTATCATTGTCCGTGTAGTATATTGCTATTTTGCATGCATTCAAAGAGTATGAAATAACATTCTTTTTGATACCCGTCTCCTCAATATATGCCTTAAGACAATAAACTCTCCTGATTACATTTTTTTTTAAACATTCGAGTCAGGTGTTGGGGAAATTCCATCATTTGTACTGCATCGCAGGCAACCTACTCGCCACCAAGTATAGCGCATATGAGCGAAGTATTGAACTAATTAGGCTGTACCAAGGTATATTTCTGTTGCAAACCATATACTCTTAGCTAACCGACAGCCTGCTGTGTGGAAATATTAGCTGACATACTGCACATCCCATCACACGAAGAATGAGGTGAATTAGCCAATTAGCCACAATTTGTTTTTCGTTTATGGCAGAACCGATTTCTATTGTAGATACATTGGTACAGGTAGATAAATATCTAGCATGCCTTTTGAAAGCGTTTTTTCGGTTACTTAGAATTGTACGCCGCCAATACGATTTTCTGTAATGATTTCGCTGTGGAACACTAATCAGTGTGTAACTTGACTTAACCCTGTCGTAGTATCAGTACATACGCTTGCTAATTTAGTAATTAGGTTGAACAGCAGGTACGAATTTTCCTGCTTTTTTCCGATGCGTGCCAAACTAGGTAGGACAAATCATCCTTGTGTACAGCCCCACCCCTTACATCATGAATCTTTTGCATATCACGTAGCCCCTTTATCATTTGAAATACTACTTAGTCTAATGGAGTAAGTAAGAAGATCACATACGTTTGCAGTCATATTTCTGGTTTGCAACTAATGTTAGCCAATCGGGAATTGATGAATTGGTGAATCATCCACAGTGTATACAAATTGTAATACTGCATCAAAACGCATACGAATATATGTTCATTCCTGTGTCAAAAAACTAATTTAAGGGTTAATTTTTTTCACAAAGCACCGTTGTCAAGGAATAGAGTTGTTCTGCGAAATACATTTTGCAATTTTGGCATGGGTTTAAAAGTAATTACTTACATGAAAAATAAGCGCATTTCCTGTAAAATAGCACGTTCATTGTTTGTATGCATAACTTAATGCAGTATATTAGCTTAATGATCAGCGAGTGATCTATCATGAAAGTTAAAGCATCCTCATCATCATCATACAAGTTAGTCAGAGGTGGGGTACACCTTACCTACTGTGCCGCAATACGTAGGAAATATGAGAAAAAGTTGCAAATTGTGCAAGCCACCTAAGCTACCAGTAACGGATGGGCATCGTTCTGGTGAGCTACCAGCCGGCTATTGTGCATCAAAAAAATTGCAATGTAAAAGTAGGTAAGGTTGCAGCGAGAGACTATGAGGCATGGGGTGGGACAATGAAACTCACAGCACGAATGCCACTGAGGTCGGCTCCTTGCCATGTCAGCAAGTGTGTCCAACCAAACTTGTTCATCGTCTTTCGGACCCCAACCAGGGAGCCAAGACGCTCTAACCGAGGCCAGCTCAGAAGTGAGGGCCTTCATTCCTCGCGACTGTCATCGCTTGGCCACCTCTCCTCTTCTTCCATCCACACTCACGGCGCGCAAACATCGCACGTCGAGAGAGTCGGTGGGCTTGGATGCGTAACACGGGGCCGAGCCATCGGAGCCTGATACGTGAAATAACGATGCTGAGCGGTTCATTTCCTTTTCCTGTACCGTAAACAATGCGTCGAACACGCTCGTTTCTCACACGGTGTTCCCACCATATGTGAGTCAAACAACGAAGGCACGGATGGTCGAACGTAACTAGCCTCTTCATGTCCGCCGATCATAGGTGCAAGGTTTCGCAACCGCACAATAGGGTCGAAGGTACCGCTGCATTGTACACTCTGCCCTTCAGGGCGTGGGTGATGTCGAGCCGCCGCCGTAAGTAACGAAGGTTAGCAAAAGCACTTCCAGCTTTTTCTATACGGTTCGCGATTTCATCTTCAATCCCACGGGCGTTGATACAACTTCCAAGGTAGTTGAACGTCTGAACGACTTCTAGCTGATCCCCACCAATGGTCAGCGTAGCAGGCGGTCCAGACCAATCTTGAAGGAACGCTTTGAAATTTGAGGGTGCGAAGCAAAGCTTGAAGTGACGGACAGCTAGTGCTAATCTGTTCAGTGCAGCTTGGCACGTCTGGGAGCTGTCACAGATTAGGGCGATTTCATCAGCATACTCTAAGTCAAAAAGTTGTTCTCCTCGGAGTAGCTCCACACCTTCTAAGTCCTGTCCTGTGAACGCGGTTTCCATGAATTCGTCAACAATAAAGTTGAAGAGGAAAGAAGACAGCGGGCATCCTTGTCTCACACCGCTGGATATATTAAAGGGTGACGACAACTTGCCGTAAGCATTCACTCTGCCCGAGCTACGCGCATGTAATGCTGGAATAATATTTACATGTTTCTCAGGTACACCTTTTCTTAGTAGACAGTCCCAACGTGCAAGTCTATCCACAGAATCGAATGCACCTTTGATATCGAGGAACACGACAACGGTGTGTCGCCAATATATGTGACGGTGCTCCAACAACTGACGCAAGGTGAATATGTGGTCAATGCATCCACGACCTCGACGAAATTCGCATTGCTCATCACAAATCTGGCTTTCACGTGTGCCAGTCAGTTTGTGAAGAATGACAGAGGCAAGCAATTTGGAGGCGATGTAGATCAGACTGATTCATCTATGGCTGCCGCATTCCGATCTTGAGCCACCTTGAAAATTGGGACTATGACGGAGCGGCTCCTGTCAGTTGGGACAGTTTCTTGCTTCCACAGTTTAACTAGCAACTCGTGTAAATTATCCACAAGAACTGGTCTGCCGAATTGGAAGAGGGGTGGAGGAAGATCATCAGGTGTCGCGGCTTTATTAAACTTCAACAGTCCGATCTCATGTTCGACGTCTGAGCGAGAGGGTGGATCCAAAGGAACAGCCCACGGATCAGGGCGATCACTGGTCGGCGAGAAATCTAACAATTCCGACCGATTAAATTGCCTTTCAAAGTGCTCAGCCCAACGCTCCAAGCGTTTTGAGAAGTTGTGGATAGGCTGTACACTCTCGTCACAAATTGTTTCACTAACACCAAGCATTCCGCTGCCCGATTCCCGTATTAGACGGAATAACTTACGATGGTTGTCAAGGGCAGCGGCCATTTCCATCGCTGAAACACGATGAGACCATCAGGATTCGCGGTCTCTCTTCAGGCTAGCACGGAGTTTTGCCCGGAGCTCTTTGCGAGTTTCATTGTGTTCGCTTCAAGCCGGAATATGCCGGCGAGCATCTACAAGTTCCAGAGACTGCGAAGAGACCCAATGTTCATGTTGGCGATTAGGCATACCACATGAGGATTTGCCTGCTGCTAGTAAGGCCTGTTGCATATGAGACCAGTGAGCTTCAATTGCATCCAGTGAGCGTTTATCCAACTCGCATGACAGCGTGCTTTGATAGGCATTCCGAACAGCTGGCTTCGCCAGTTGGCTGGTGTCAATGCGCTCACAACATCGTCGTGGGCGTCCGCCAAAACGCATCCGCAGGTCAGCACATACTAGTGCATGGTCGATGTCCACACGTGTGCTCCAAATGAAGCGACAATTCTGGATGCAGCCTATCCAGCGGTAACTGATTGCAATGTGATCGATTTGCGTCCATAGCTGGTTCGAGGCTGGTGGGCGCCAACTCACTCTCCGGCGGGTGCTTTGTCGGAAATTAGTGCTCGCAAAAAGTAAGCGAGCATCCTCACACAAATGATGTAACCGGTCACCGTTATCATTACGGGAGCCTACACCAAGTTGGCCGCCCAGATGCACCTCATCTGTGGATAATTTTCTAACTTGAGCGTTCAGATCCCCAGCCAGCAATACAATGTCCGAGCTTCGTCTGTAGCTAAGGAGCTCCTTCAGTTAACGATAGAAGTCGTCTTTTACCGAGTCATCGCTATAGTTTGTCGGTGCATAGGCAGCGATAACGAATAGACAACTGTTGGTCTCACGCGACTTCGAAGTTTTGAACGAGCCAGCCAATCGGACCGTACACATCCGGCTACGGATTGGAATCCAATCAACCAGAGTAGTTTCGGCCAGGGGACTCAGGGCAATACCAACACCGGCTTGGCCGGTGCTCGAAGCTGCATCGTCACCGAATAGGCGCAATGAGAAAGTGCTGTTAGTGTCACCTGAAGGGGATCGCAAAGTGAGCACAGAGCTCGAGTCTTGCATACAGTTCTCTGATAAGCAGCGTATATCGATCGTGATGATCTCTTATGTTTGGGCAAGTGTTGCCTGTTGACTGATCTGAAGCAATGTGAAAATATTGAGGCATGCCAATCTGAAGGAGGATCGAGGGCTCCAAATGGAAGCCGATGAACTGAGCTTGAC